CAGCTGAAATCTAAAAATAAATAAAGGCCTAGTATTTGTGGAGAAATTAACAGGTAATAATGAAGGGAAGAAGTGATGCATAATGAGGCAAAAGGCAAAAAATAATAGCAGCATTTGCCATTTCCTTCCTCCAGCATTCCCAATTAAAAGTTCCCACTTTTATTATCACTTCCAGATTTCCAGTAGCCAAAAGATTTATCGAAGTACAAGTTAGAAGGCAATTGAGAAGGAGAAGTTCATCAAATAATAGTTAAATCAACAAAACATAGTAGTCCTCATTCAAAAGTTGAGAATTATCTACACATCATATTTTATTGCAATTAAAATGATATCATTCATATATCTAAATTAGAAGAGTAACTCTATTCATAGTCATTACTTGGTAGTTGCACTAATTTGTTATTTTGTTTTGAATTTTAACATACTTATTCAGAATAGCAAAGTAGATAATATTCTAGGATTTCAAAAAGCCACACTTGTCCAGTACACTCCCATTGTTCATCACACAAGTATATTCCAAAGTAGTTTAAATCTCAGTAGACAGTAGCTAAAAACACATGAAAAGGGTAGCAATTTTGCATTCAATATCCAAAAGACAACAAAAATTCATCAATTTACAAAGTAAAATTTAAACCAAATAAATCAGATCCCTTTTACCAGAATCTCAAGCAAAGCAATCTGAGATTTATAGAATAAATATCGCATAATAAACAAGATACCAAAAAGAATATTAATTTGTTTCGATTTTGAGCATATTAAAATCAAAAGAGAAGCTATGCATTGCTTGTCCAAATCGTGTTTTTCGGATCGATTCAGCGTAGACGGTACACGGTAGATCTGTTGCTGCCTTGCTAGTGTTGAAGAATTTGGGATCGATTTAGCGTAGAAGAGTCTGGAGTCTGGACTATAGAGAGGATTTAGGAGCGCGAAGCTTGGAGAGTTGGAAGTGTGATGGATTGGAGTCTGCGTCTCTATGAAGCTTGGAGGATTTAGGCATTTAGGTTTCTTGTTTTTCCTTCTTTTTTTTCTTTTCTTTTTTTTTTATTTTTATTTTTTACTGTGGTTGGGTTGGGTCGGGTCGGGTCGGGTCGGTTTCTATCGGGTTTAGGATTGGGTCGGTTAATTGAAATGGGTCGGTGGCGGGTTATGGATTGGGATTTTTCTGAAAAACGTTGCTAAAACTCATTTATACTAACAATGGCAACATTCACTTCCTCAAATGTTGCCAAACGATCCTTTTAGCAATATTTATCAACAAATGTTGCCTTTTTAATATTGCGAATAACTCTTTTTGTTGTAGTGTCATCATACCAAACTCCAATAGGAAGTAAATTCGTGACCAATGGAAAAATATCGACTAAATTTTGTTAATTCAATCTTGGTCATTGAACTTCACTGACAATCTCAATTGGACCATTCAAACTATCATAATATAAAAATAATCTCTTTCGAAATTTGAAAGATTTTACCTATAGCGAGTTTTTGTGAAATAACTCCGATGGCAAGAAAAAAAGAAGGCGTTAAGATGATTCAAAATCAATACTACAATTTAGAAATTATTTAATAGGGAACAAAAAAATAAATATGCAACATGTAATTGCATAATTATAAGGTGTTTTAACTAACAGGTTGCTATTAAAAATCAATGATCGATTTTGACAAAAGTTCAATGACCAAATTGTATCACAATTAAGTTATCTCATGAATTAATCAGTTTATATCATTGTATTACTTTCCATTTTTATTTTAAAAACCTATAAAAAATACTTTCACCGCCTCGTCTGTATCAGCGTGTATCAAAACACTGAGATCAAGACACTCGGATTATGGACTTGCAAATGTATTCATAACCTTTTAGGCATTATCGATATGTACTCGAACTCTATTTGTAGGAGTGTACCATGGACCTGTCTGTCGATTATGTTATTGTTGAAATCCTACTCATGAAAATCGAATTGAAGAAGGAGATGTGGTGGAGGGAGATGGGAAATTGATTCGCAACTCGAAACCTACAAGCAACTGTCTTGACTGGATCATTGTCACCCCTTGACATAAGAAATATTGTGACAGAATTAGAAGGGTACTTTTAGAATATCATTGCGTTGTTCCTTACTTGATTCTTAAAAAAATTCATCTTCAAAACATTACTTGTCCAAGTTTGGTAAACCCTTGGCGATCGGTAATTTATCTCATGAATTATTGCATTCCGCGTCCTTCTCTTTGGATCCCAGCCGCTGATCTATCAACACAGGGCTGGAAAGCAACATGGAGGGGCGGGAGGCTGCAAGGACGGGATAAAGGTGAGGAAGAAGATCACGTAGAGAAGGTGGATGTCATCATTTTTTTTTTTCAATTTAGCCATTATAAGAGTGAGAACTTACCTAGATAAAACGATAATTTGCCAGCTTTACTGTGAATCAACGAGTGTGTACCGAGAAGAAATACCCTGCGTCCTAGATTTCATGTAGGCAGAAATTTGATTTGCGTACTACACAAGATTTCTGCAAAAAACTAAATGAGTCATGGCTCGTTTTATTAAAATTTAATATGTATAAGTGCCTCCAAAATTTCAATTCAGGAGATGTAAATTTTCAAAACAATAAAAGAATGTTTAGAAAAAGATCAAAACTGGACCGGAAAGTCTAAATTATTCTAATTGACAGTAGTGAGGCTAAAACATGCAGCAGCGTTCCTGAGCTCCCTTTGGGATACTTGCTCGCTCGGCGACTGTGTTGCAACCTTCATTGATGATTCCGAGCTGAAATAAATATTTTTTTTTTTTGTCAATTTCTCTTATTTAGATTAAACTAAAATAGAACAATTTAAGACTAGCATTGATCAAAGTTATAATAAATCGTGAGCACATACCTTGACTCACATACACCCCTGGTTTCGATATAAGATTGTCTATCATCAGCTGCAGTGTCAAAGTGTAGGTACTCGTAGTCTTGCGAAATTTCTTGTTCTTGTCGGATCTCATATGCATCCATTTGTGTTTGAAGTGTTATAGATTGGTTACAGTTCATATCACAGTAAGGATCAAAGCCCAACGTTGGTCTGGTCATAGCGTTACTAGATTCAGCATAAAAACCAATACTTTCATTCGCAAAAAACTGATTATTCACCGCATAATTAATCATCTCGTTTTCCGGTTGAAATGTCTGAGATACATCAGTATTTGAATAGATACTGAAATCTAGCTGTGGTGGAGACGAGTAGTGTGAGGTGGATCCTAAAGGCTTGTTGAACTGTTGCTTGTAGGTTTCGAGCTGCGAATAAACACATCGAAGTTCTTCAAGCGCATGCTGCAACTGTAGACGCAATTGACATATGATCACAGAACAGCCGTAAACAGGAAACCTCTCACGCATATCAGACTCGTAGATAATGGATTTCATCGCGTCTTCTTTCTGTTCCTTCGTATCCAAGTTCCCTAGAATCTTCGTAATGTTAGACACACCAAAAAGCCGATGCACATTCTGAAAGATTTTGGATTGATTTGACGGGAAATAAGGTGCAAGAGGGCAATCTGATGAACACTTTCTCCTCTGGTACTTACAAGCAGCACATGCCGGGCTCGTACCACCCTTCACTGTCATGATATGGCAAAGAATTATGCGTAGAATCCGAATCAAGAAATAATACAAGTGAATCATATAGATATCGAGAGCGTGACACAGGGGGAGTCACTTATTTTTATTGAATTGTGATCAAGAAATGCAAGAATGGGAACAAATAGAGATGTATACAGAGATAGAGGTTGAGACACCTATTCTGATTTAACTTTGATAAAGAGATGAAACGAAATATATAAAAAGTGAGAGACTTGTACTCAGCTTGAATGTGTACTGCACGCGTGAATTTGCTATGTAGAGAGAGAGAAAGAGAGATCATATCGATCGTAGTTAGAGTGTATATCACACGTGCGAGTTTGTTGGGATAACATAGACCAAGTAAACATATCTTTAGTTGCAATTCTTTCGGGGTTTGTTTGAAGAATTTCAACGTGAGCGGGAGTCTCAAAGTAGAGTTCATAAGCAAATCAAAATCATCAGCGTAACTCTTATCCCTCCACATTTCGTGAATAATCTTGACCATTTCATAACTTCATCGACGATAAGGTTCCCAAGACTCCATCTTTTTATTTTCTACTATTTGAATTTTTGCTGAAATAAAATGTTATCCTGTGCATATTTACATTTTCTAGTCTCCAAGTGTATTAATATTTGTAGGGTGAATAGCATCAAACGTCCATACCTTTCATTGCTATTGTGCAAAACGTTCTTTCATTTTTTGACATTTTCACTCATACCTTCCACATTTCATTGGGCAAAATGTCATTTTAAACCATTTTTTTCAATAAAATGACGATTTTACCCTTCTATTCAAATGAAACAAAAAGAAAAGAAAAAAAATAGATAGCTAGTTGCGATCATAGTCCTAAATTTTTCAAAATATTACAGATAAGTCCTAAATTCTCAACCACCACCACCACCACTTTCACAACCCCACCAAGTCGCCACCTATAGATCCACAAAGTACCACGGTCTGGCCACCACGCCCACAGAATTCCACCATCAGCCTTGCTTCATTCTCCCCAACATCCTCTCCTACAATATTCGTCACAAAATTTGTCGAAAACAGCCACATTTGCAGCCTAAAATACCAAACTGCCGTAGACAACCCTTCACGGCAACCCCACTTTCGACGCCACCCACGGTCGCGTACCACCGCCGACGGTTACCCCTCACCTCAACGAACTTATACATGGCCTCACATCAATCAAACATGCCTCAAATCATTCTACTATAATTTAGACATTCAACAGTGACGACGTCCATTTTGCCAAACTCTTCTCATTCAATTCATGCATCCCACAACACTAAATCTCCAAATTGGCATCAATCGAACCATCAACAAACCCAAACGACAATGGGTATGAATCTAATTGAATCAATTATCCCTCAAATCGTTTCAATTTCTGATCCAAAACTCTCCACGAGCGCGATACACAGAGAGAGAGAGAGAGAGAGCTGTCTGGCCAAAATTGGTAGGTCCTAAGTGCTTCAATCTTCAAATTTGTGTGGAGGAGGACGGTGGGGAAATGCAGATGGTTGGTGGTGATGGAGTCCAGTGGGCGTGGTGGTGGTCGAAAGGTGGGTGCTATGTGGATCTATAGGTGACAACTTAGTAGATTGTGAAAGTGGTGGTGGTGGAGAATTTATGATTTCTTTGTAATTTTTTAAAAATTTAAGGACTATAGTTGCAGTTGGTTATTCATCTTTTTCTTTTTGTTTTATTTGAATTGGAGGGTAAAATCATCTTTTTTTGAAAAAAATGGATAAAAATGACTTTTTGCTCAATAAAATGTGGAAGATAATGATGAAAATGTCAAAAAATGAAAGGTAAGAACGTATTGCACAATGACATTGAAAGGTAGGAATTTTCTGTGCTATTTACCTTATTTGTAATGTTATTCGTCGAACATAATAATAAGATAAAATTATTATATTTCAAATGTTAATCCTCGTGTAGTATGTAGAACTTGACGTGATTATTACAAATTAAATTTTGCTTTGCTACGTGTTTTTCTTATTTTGTAAATCATTAGAATAAATGTATATAATAGACCATGTACATGAATGATACTAACATAAACGTCATTTATACTTCAAGTGTTAATTGTCATGTAAAATGTAGAATTCAGTATTTTGCATTACAACTCAAATTTATAATATTTTACTGTAATAGTTGAAAATAGAGGCTCAATCAAAATAAAGCTTTCTTCCTTTTTTATTAGGGCAATTGGCTCTCTATTAGAGAAATCCGAAATCGAATCCCTTTCTAAACTCTAGGCAATTGCCGTTCGCACGATGATGATTGACGGACATGGTTGTGTAGGGCAAATATCATTGCCCTAATGTCAATGATGTTCCCTTTGCATGGACTATTTTTGTTAGAAGTGTAAAGTGGGTTGCATCACTAATTTTATGTTTGATGCTTCAACTAAGAGCATTAAAGACGAAAGTTTGATGCTTCAACTAAGAGCATGTTTGGTATGCTTAAAATCCAATTAAAATTGAAAATATAGTCTTTATTGGATCTCACTCATCTAATAAAAGTCAGCAATAACGACTTGTTTTTCACTTTTAATCCGATTTTAATCTCTACCGAAAACTCCCTAAATATGATAATTAAATTCTCAAAAATTGTATATTGAGTGAATTGGTTCCGGAAAAAAGTAAAAAGATGTTTGAAATTTTTTAAAGATGGGACGATTTTTATAATTTGAAAATGGAATAAAGAGAGTCATTTTGTGATTTAACAATTAAAATAGACCAATCAGGGACATTGGGGATCCGGAACATATAGAATGGATGATCACAGTGTTAAAAATCACAGTTGGGGACCAATTGTGCAATTTCTCATTTTCGTCTTTTTGGTTAGACATAAAACTCTCCTTCTGAACGTTCTCGTAAACGTTCCTTTTCAAATCCAATAAAAAAATCTTTCCTTCCACCGACCTTCATACAACGGTAAAAAAAATATTTCCATAATCTGGAAGCCGCGCCCTCTATATCAAAAAATTTCAAATCTCCTGAAAGCCGTTTTCTCTTTAGCCCTGATTTGCACTTCTTTTCCAGACTCTCCTCTCTCTTCTGCAATCATCTTCTTCCACCGATCACGCTTGAGTTTGGTTCTTTGTATGTTTTGATTTCTTCTGATCTGGGGTCATTCTATTGATCGATCTTGTTTCTTGGGTTTAATATGCCGGATTCTGAGGGGATTTTTCCTACATATATTATAATCCGTCATTTTTTGCGTTGGTTGCTTATGATCAATGATTTAATTTTAATTAATTAATTCAACCAATATGCAGTAGATTGTTGAAGTTTGAATCTTTATTGTTAACATTCAATTTTTTTTCACTATATGAAGATGGGAAATCGCTTCTTTTCCAGACTCTCCTCTCTCTTCTCCAATCATCTTCTTCCCCCGATCATGTTGGGTTTTTGGTATGTCCCTCTTGAAAGATAAAGTATTCGGTAAAATTTATTTTATTGCAGGCAATTAGGGTTTTTTTATATGTTTGGATTTCTCCTGATTAGGGTTCTTGGGTTTATATAATATGCCGGATTCTGAGGGGATTTTTCCAACAAATATTATAATCCGTCATTTTTAACCAATATGCAGTAGATTGTTGAAGTTTGAATCTTTATTGTTAACATTCAATTTACTTCACTATATGAAGATGGGAAGTAAAGACACATTTATTCATTTTAAGCCCCTGCTCTGAAGCCACAGCAATGGTTAGTAGCGGCTTTTGACTTTGCCTCGTACCTGTCCCATCTTTTTTTTTTTTAAAGATTTTTTTTTATGTGCTATTGAATAATAATTTATATTTTTCAAGTTATCATTTTGACACTAAGTTTATTGTTGAACTGCAGCCACAACCTGATGTCAAGCCAATGGCATGTGCTTGTTTGGTTTCATTTGATAGATATTACCTGTATTAATTGTTGGCGTTACGAACCTTTTTGTTTCTTGTGGAATTCGATCAGAGACCTACTGTGGGTCCTTCCTGGTATTCTATTCATATTCATCATATCAGTGCTTTTGAGGACTGCTTGATGTAGGTTAAGCTTGTTGATAATTTTCCAGAATCAGTAATTACTAGATGTAAAAAGTCTATGGGATTTCCCTAATTCAGAGTGCCTTATTAGTGATTATTTTGTTTGGAAGTTGTCTAAAAAAATATAGACACGTTGCTTATAACAGTCTAATGATTGTATTCAGTTTTTCATTTTTACATGTCTATTCAATCTGTTGATGCTCTTTACAGTAAGATTCTTCATTTGTCATCATTCTTTATTGCTTTGTCATTGTTCTGGATTGTAATTTTAATTACAATGGCAGTATTAAACCCTCCACATACTGACATCTCATATGTCAGACCTGATTCCTATATTATTGTAAAAGATGATGAACTAGACAGGGCTCTGGATAAGAGGACCGCCAGTCATGACATGGATTTTGAGGACAAGGAGTGGTTGAACAAGTTCAATACTGAATTTAACGTAGAAAGGAGCTTCATCACCTTGTCATGCCTGACAGATTTGAGTTGAGAATTGATGCACTTAAAAGAGGTTTTCTCAATAAAGCAGATGATTGGTCTGATGAGAAAGTGGCTGATAGTGTGTGATTGGATCTTGTAAGGAAGTAGTTATGAAGGCTGCGCATAGTTATTGGATTTAAAAGCAAAGGTGGAACATTCAGCACCAGTAAGGATTTTCCAGGTAAATGTACAACCTTCAGTAGAAGCTTTTCCTGTTTGCAAAAAATCTTTATGCATGTGAGGTATGTAGGTAGATTATATTAGACAGTACAACAAAAAAGATTGTAGTTTTTCTTTTTCTTTCTTAGCCCTTGTTTTGTTCCCATTTTCTAAAACTCATTTTCAACCATAGGATCCACAACTTTTAAATAACACATTTCATGAACTTTTATCAAAATTTATTAAAATTTTGATTTTTAGCTAAATCAATGTGGGCTTAATATGTGTAGTGGCGCGCTATCCAATCTACGGTGCAAAACATAG